TGCTAACTTTCTAAAATTATATTTACAGGTGAAACTTTGAAGACCCTTTAAAAAAATATGTATGAGAGACTTTTTTTTATGATCTGTTCATTCTCTTAAGAAGTGAGCTTCCTTTATCTGCTTCAGGTTAAGTTCTCCCTGTACAAATGAAGTTTAACTCCAATTGACATTTCAGATTTCAAAAACATTATCAAAATAATTGGTGTAGACAAAAGCTGTAGGCAATTAGATATAGACTAGAAAACTTGTATTCCACAAGAAATTTGAGAAAACGATAGGATTTGAATTTAAAAAAAAAAAAAATTAGGAGCATAACCTGAACAAAGATACAGAACTAATGCTAGAAAACCTAAACTCACTGCCATCAAATTACTTATGACTTCTTGTGGCGCCCTAGAAATTTTCAAGTCTATAAATCTTAATGGAAATAGACTGTCTCATCATTTTTAGTAGAGTGATGGAAGTGCCAGTCATTCAGTTAATAGTCCAGCATGCTGCCCATCACAGTACAAAAGGTTCTTTGAGCCAACAATAAACACAGCTTATTTTGAAGAGCCTGACTAATTGGTAGAGATAATGATAATTGATAGATAGGTAAAATTCAGATTATTGGGACCTTACATTCCAGGCTTGCTTATTTTGAATATATGCTACAGGCAACAAAGAGTTTAAAACTTTAGAACTAGGTAGTCAAAAAGCATATGCTTCAGGAAGTCTAATATCATATTATAGAGTAGATTGGAAAATAAGCTTATTTAAGAACCCATAAAATACAGTCTTAAGGCAGTAGAAATACAAAAAGCAATGTTTAGATATGAAAATGATTGGAAAGGAAGAAATTGGAAAATTAGGAACTCAGATAAATAGAAAAGGGATGATGTTCTTTTCTCCCAAGTTCCAGGAGTTTTTATTGTTTGAATAACAGAACACGTAATCCAGGCAGAGAAGTCCCCAAGGAGATGGTGGTTTTGTTTCACTGGTAGTTTGTTCCTTCATCTTCTAAGCATTTACTGTATCTTCTTTTAAGAGATGACACATTTATTGTGATCACAAATCCAAACCAAATGTGAGTGAGTGAATAATTGAATAAATGAATGAATGATCTTTAAATAGTTCCACCTCATTTTCCCTTAAATGTTGTTGACTCATAGCAGCAACCCTGTGTACAATAGCTCTGAACTCTGCTCTATACTGAGCTAACCTCATCATCTCCAACATACCTTCCCTCATTACCCGAGTCACTGAATCAATCCGTATCATCCAGCATCTTCCTCTCTTGTGTTGTCCTTCTACCCTTCCAAGCATAATGTCCCTCTCCAAGGACTTGTCTCTCCTTGCAACATGCTATGTTAGATGGAGTTTGAGAATCTTTGCCTCCAAGGAGAAACCTGGTTTTACCTCTCCAGGATGAACATGTTTGTTTTCCTAGCAGTCTGTGGCATATTCAGTACTCTTCTCCAGAGCTACAACTCAAAAGCATCAATTCTTCCTCTATCATCCCTAGTCAGTGTCTAGCTTTATGATGTATAGCAAATAATTGTGAAAGCCATGGTCTGGATCAGGTGCACCTTAGTTTTGAGACTGACATCATTGCTCTTTACTGTAGAGAGGTCCCTGAGAGCAGATTTTCCCAATGCAATTTGTCTTTTGATTTCCTGGCTACTGGTACCAAGAGTGCCATTTGTGGAAACAAGCAAGCTAAAACTTTCAGCAATCCCAATGTCTTCACTGTCTGTCATGATGCTGCCTATCAGTCCAGTGATGAGGATCTTTGTTTTCTTGGTGTTGAGCTTCGATCCATATTGAAGGCTGCAGTCCTTGACCTTTTTCAGCAAATGCCTCAGTTCCTCCTAAGTTTTGGCCAGCAAGATTGTGTCATCTACATAACACAGGCTATTGATGAGTCTTTTTCCAATTCTGATGCTACATTCTTCCTCATAGAGCCCAACCTCCCTGATGATCTGTTCTGAATATAGATTGAAAAGATATCAAGATGCATCCCTGGTACACATCTTTGCTGATTTTGAACCATGCAGTGTTTCCTTGCTCTGTTCTGACGACTGCCTCGTCCAAGTATAGGTTTTGCATTAGCACAATCAAGTGTTCTGGGATTCCCATTCTTCTCAGAGTCAGCCACAGTTGTGATCCACACAGTCAAATGCCTTTGACTAGTCAATGAAGCACAGTCAGTCATTCCTCTGGCATTCTCTGCTTTCAACCAAGATCCATCTAACATTGGCTATAATATCCCTAGTGCCACAGCCTCTTCTAAACCCGACCTGCACTTCTGGAAGTTCTCTATTGATGTTCTTCTCTAGTTGTTTTTGGATAATTTTCAGCAGGATCTTGCTTGCATGTGATATTATAGATGTTGTTTGATAATTTCCATACTTTTGGGTCACCTTTTTTTTTTGAATGGGAGAAAATATTAAATGTCTCCTCATAGCTTGTTTGCCCAGAGTTGTCCTGTCTATGATAATTAAAAACAGACTGCAACGTCGTCTTCCAAAATCCCTCTTGAACTGCATGCAGCTCATTTATTATCTCCCAGAGCATGAGTCCTATTGATAATTGGAGATAATCTTCAAAAGGTGAGAACGGTAACTGGGTTTAAGGCAAATGGGAGGGATCTTCAGCAAACTGAGGACTATTGGGAAACTGTGCAGAAGCGAATCTTGTCAGTAAGATACCAGTTCCATCAATTATAGCTAGAAGAATGCCACCCATTGCAGCTGACCCAACCATGGACACTGGTCCATTTCACATGGCCAGTAGGGCTCCTGTTAGGGCAACACTTGTGTTGGCGTTCCAGGGATCTTCCTTCTCTCTGATCTGAATCATACTGCAATCAGTCATGGAAAACAGACCTCCCCAAACAGCAAAGCTGTCTCCTAACTGTGAAGCCTTGTCCTTGAACTCCCTCATAGTCTGTAGTTGACACCCACTGGAGAATTAGGGAAACCTTTGATTGCTTGAAAGATGCCACCACCTATGGTGTCACTCGTAAAGGTGCCACCACCATCATCCATGATTTGCCAGGAGGGAAAGTTCTCATGCAGACCCCTCCATCTTGGCTCCAGTGGCATCAGAAAGGGATAATTTTTTTTTAATCTGGAAGCAGGAAACAACAACAAGCAAGTCATTACCATCAAGTCAGAACCAACTCATAGCTGACCCTCCAGTGGGTTTTTAGAGGGAAGAAATTGCACGGGAGGAGATTACTCATCTTTCTCCCAAAGAGCAGCTCATGGATTCAGTCTGTCTGCTTTACAGCTGCTATCATAACTCTATTTACTCACCTACAAATACAGACTCAAAAACATATTTTGTGATGCTAAATGTTTTAAAAAGCCTTTATTCCTATTTATATAAACAATATATTTGAAGAGTAACAACTTGTGGGCACACAATATTATTACCAGAGTAATGAGAGTACCAGAGGACTGTCTATCAGGTGTTTCATTGACTATGCAAAAGTATTTGACTGTTTGGATCACAACAAACCATGGCTAACTCTGAGATGAATGAGAATTCCAGAACGCTTGATTTTGCTTATGTAAAATCTATACTTGGACCAGGAGGCAGTCATCAGAACAAAGCAAGGAAGCACTGCATGGTTCAAAATCAGGAAAAGTATATACCAGGCATGCATCCTATCGCCATACTTTTTAAATCTATATGCAGAAGAGATCATCCAGGAGGCTGAGGTCTATGAGGAAAAATGTAGCATCAGAATTGGAGGAAAACACATCAACAACCTGTGTTATGCAGATGACACAGTCTTGCTCACCAAAACTAAGAAGGACCTGAGGCATTTGCTGGACTGCAGCCTTCCATATTGCTCAAAGCGCAACACCAGGAAAACAGAGTTTCTCACCACTGGGCCAGTTGACAAAATCATGATAGTTGGTGAAGAGACTGATATTGTTAATAGCTTTCGTTTGTGTGGCTCCACAATCAACTCTCGGTACCAGCAGCCAGGAAATCAAAACACAAATTACATTGGGGAAAATCTGCTGTCAGGGACCTCTCCAGAGTACTGAAGAGCAATAATGGCAGTCAGGAGACTAAGGTCATAGGTCATGATCCAGGCCATAGTCTTTGGAATTACTTGCTGTGTGTCAGAAAGCTTAACAATGACTAGGGATTACAGAAGGAAAATTGATGCCTTTGAGCTGTGGTGCTGGAGAAGAGTATTGAGAGTACTATGGACTGCTAAGAAAACAAACAGATTCATCCTGGAAAGAGTTAAACCGGGCGGCTCCCGGAGGCAAGAATTCTGAGGCTCTGTCTTAACATACTTTGGACATGTTGTAAGGAGAGACCAGTCCTTGGAGAAGGACATCATGCTTGGGAGGGTGGAGGGACAGCACAAGATTCTTTAGGTGTTAATTGAAATTCACGGTTTTCTCTCCAGCCTTAAAAACATTGCTGTGAACTATGAATATAGCTTTACAGGGTCCTTAAATCATTGAATATTGTGAGTAAGACATTCTTCTGTCATATGTTGGAGGTAAAGCCAGAAAATACGAGTTTCAGACATTTTTCATGAAGTGAGAATGGATGTTCCTAGGCAGATATTTTACAGTTGTATCTATATTTACAATTAAGCATACCTCATTCTTAATCTAAAGTCAGGTCATCGTTCTTTATGGATAGAGCAAACAGAAATGACACTAAAATGCTGGAGTCTTTAGTAGCTGCTACCTTGTTGAGTGTTCTGAACTGTGACAGAGGTTGCATCCGAGGACTGAACCTCATTCTACCTATAGGGTGTCAAGCAGTTTTTTTCCATTTGTTTGTTAATAGGTTAATATGTGCACTCCCTAATTAAAACCTACCCAAAGAAATTATTATATGAAGTAATGTATTAACCATATAACATGTTGGGATGGTGCTGGGCAGCTGTCATAATTTCTGCTGCTAGTTTATAGAAAGAAAAAAAATAAAGTCGGTTCTTTTTGTTGGGAAAGAAGATTTCATGTTATCTGTATTTGCAGGCTTTCTGGCTCATATGCTGGAGGAATCCTTGCTGCGGGGGTGTTTTCATTTTCTCGTCTAACATGGCAGTGGTCCATTGCAGCGGAGGTTTTTAGCTTAAACAATCTGTTTGTGGGGCTGCTTATGGCTCTTACTGTACATTTTGAAGAGGCAGCAACTGCCGAAGAGAGATCAAAGGTAACCTATTTTGATCAAAGTGAATTTTTTTGTTTTAATTTTAGACAGATACTGTATTTTCTTAAAGTTTAGATACTGTTTGTCTCTTCTGATTACTGTCAAAGTAATCTAGGCATGTTGGGAGAGAGGATACTCTCGATTCTTCTATTATGAATGGAACCTTTCTAAAACATGAAACCTTGCCTCCCCCCTTTGGCCCCAGAGCTCACAAGTTTTATAGAGGAAAAGGAGATGAGGGAATGATCAAATCCCTTGTGAGTCTTGTGGAGAAGATAGACATGTTGAATAATCCCATCACAGTGTGTATGTGTCTGTGTGTGTATGCATAAATATGTGTGTGTTCATAATATGCCAAGCTCTACAATGACCAGCTTAAATTATATACTGTTGTGGTCCATCGATATCCTCCCTAAGTATAAAATATCAAATTTGTCATTTTTTTCTTTCTATTATGATTTGAATGAAAATTTGCAAACAAATTGCTTTTCCCTTCAGCTACTCATGCCTACCCATTTTGTTTTATGACATTAATTACAAAGCCCACATTTTTTTTTAAAAAAAACCCTAAAATGTCTGGTATATAAACAAAGTAGTAGTTTTGAAGATACTGTAATATATTCTTAGGTAACCATTATCATCAAAATAATTTGAAATGTGTAAGAATCTTAAGAGTTTAAAATCTGCATTTTAGAAAATACCATATCATGTTAGTATAGGCAACCTTGTCTCATTAAAAAAAATAAAAGCCCTCATGAACTATAGAATCTCTGAAGAAAGAGAAAGACACCAATTACCATCATTTGTTTACTATTATTATATATTTTATTAATCTTTTAAATAAAATTTAAGAGGTGCATTCAAGGAGATTGCTCATCTTTCTCTCACAGAGAGGCTGGTGGATTCGAACTGCATACCTTCATATTAGAAGTGGAGCTCCTTATCGCCAGGCCACCAAAGCTCCAATATTTATAGTAATAAATAAAGATTTAAAAGGTCCTGATTTCCTTGTATCAGGCCAACCAACTCTAAAGAAAAAAGATTAAATAAAAACTAAAGAGTATCAACATTTGCCTTTGGTTCCCATAAATACATCTGTAATATTATTAGAGTTTATTCTTGCAGTTCAAAAGAACTTTGATTTTCCTAATTAGAAAATAATATACATTCAAGAAAAGCAAAAATACCACTGACAAATCATCAGATTCCTAAGTCAACGCTTTTACGTTCCATTTATTTAATAGGAGAAAAAGCAACAGAGAATTGCTGAACTACAAAGTCTCACTTGAATAAAGATTACAGTCAAGGACTGTGTTTGGTATCAGTCCTCACTATTATGGTTGGGACTTAATTTAATCATCACAAAGACTTACTCAGTTTAAGGGCAGATGTTTATGAGCAAACTGCAGTGATTTAATGAGAAAAAAATCATCAAGAATAATGGTGATAAATATTGTAATGATTAAAATTTGATTGTGTCTAAGAGTTTGATTTAAAACTTACTTGTGATACATATGGTTAACTTTAATATAAAGAATGGCTCTCTACTGCTTTAGTACTTATATTTTCAGGTGAAGTTTTAACTTGCCTTTCCCTCCTCTTTTATTTTTTTTCAGATAGCTAAAATTGGTGCCTTCTGCTGTGGCCTTAGCTTATGTAATCAGCACACAATTGTACTCTATATTCTGTGCATAATACCTTGGATTCTGTTTCGACTTTTAAAAGAGAAGGTAGGTTTTCTAACTTTTACAAATTTCAAATATTTTTTGTAGGCCCAATATAACACTTAATGGCTCAGAAAAACTGGGTTTTCCTTTTTCTTGTATTTTATGTAAAGCATACTAACCTTAAGTCATAACAGCACTTATTGAAAAATTAAGATTTAAAAAATACTATGCAGCATTGATTGCATTGGCAACTGGAATGCGTCATAATTTTCTTAGACTGATTGTGAACAGTACTTCAAAAAGAGTACACTAAAAAAAAATAAGGATATCAAGTTTCCTTTGCTGTTTATTGTATATCATAAGCCAAAGATTCAAATGCTTTGCATAATCAATGAAACACAGATATGCATTCCTCTAGTATTCCCTGCTTTCAGCTAAGATCCATCTAACATCAGCTACAATATCCCTAGTACCACAACCCCTTCTAAACCCAGCATGGACTTCTGGCAGTTCTCTGCTGACGTGCCGTTCCAGTCGTTTTTGGATAATCTTCAGTAGAATCTTGCTTGCATGTGAAATCACTGATATTGTTCTATAGTTCCCACACTCTGTTGAGTCACCCTTTGCAACGGGAACAAGTATAGATCTCGTCCAGTCAGTTGGCCAAGTGGTTGTTCTCCAGATTTCTTGGCACAACTTGGTGAGCACATCCAGGGCAGCATTTGTTAGCTGAAATATGTCAATTGATATACCATCTATTCCTGGGGCCTTAGTTTTTGCCATTTCTTTCAAAGCAGCCTGAACTACTTCTTTCATAACCATAGGCTCTTGCTCATATGTTGTTTCATGAAATTCTTCTGTGTCTACCAATTCCTATCAATACAGTGACTCAGTATATCCTTTCCACCTTCTTTTGCTACTTCCTGGGTCATTTAATATTCTACCTAAAGCATACATGATTAGAGCAATACGAGGTTTGAATTTGTTCAGTTCCTTGAGTTTAAGAAATGCTGAGTGAGTTCAGCTCTTTTGATTTTCTGACTCCAACTCCTTGCACATTTCATTTTTAATATTTTACTTTGTCATCTCGTGCTGCCTTTTGAATTATTCTATTCAACTCTTTAGTATCTTGAATTCTTCCTTGTGCTTTGGCTTCTCTGTGCTCCAGTGCAATTTTCAGAGTCTCTTCTGACATCCATCTTGGTCTTCTCTTCCTCTTCTGTCTTTGCAATGACCTTTTGCACTCTTCCTGGATGACACCCTTGATATCCTCCCGCAACTCATCTGGTCTTCGCTTATTAGTGTTCAAGGCCTCAAACCGGTTCCTGAGATGGTTCTGAAATTCAGGTGGGATAGACTCAAAGTCATATTTTGGTTCCTGTGGATTTGGTTTAATTTTCCTCAACTTCAGCTTGAACTTGTATATGAGTAGTTGGTGATCTGTTCCACAATCAGCTCCTGGCCTAGTGTTCACAGCTGATATTGAGCTTCTCCAGCGGTACTTTCTGCAGATGTAATCAATCTGATTCCTATGCATACCATCAGGTGAAATCCATGTATGTAACCTGCGTTTTTCTCTTAAAAAACGTATTTTCAATGATTAAGTCATTGATTGTGCAAAATTCAATCATTCTCTTTCCAGCTCCATTTTTGTCACCGAGTCCATGTTTTCCAACTACTGAATCTTCTCTGTTCCCAGCTTTTGCATTCCAGTCACCCATTATTATCAGTGCTTTTTTTTAAATGCATCTTGATTGCATGTTTGATCGATCTCCGATTGTAAAAGTTGGTAAAAATCTTCTATATCCTCTTCCTTGGCTCTGGTTGTTGGTGTATATATTTGAATGATAGTGGTATTTACTGGACTTCTTTGTATGCATATGGATGTTATCCTGTCACTCGCAATTTTGTACTCTAAGATGGAGCTAGCAATGACTTTTTTAACTATGAAAGCAACTCCATTTTTGCTCACTTTTTCATCTCCAGAGTAATATGATCATCCGACTCAGAATGCCCCATGCCAGTCCATCTCATCTTGCCAGTGCCTAGTATGTCAATATTTATGCGTTCCATTTCTTCCTTAACAATATCTAACTTTCCTACATTCATAGTTCTCACGTTCCATATCCCAATCACTAGTGTCTGCTTACAACTGTTCCTTTTCCTTTGTATTTCCATACTTGAAAGCTCAACCTCAGTTGCCCTTTCTGTTATCTACATGTGTTCTGTTGCACATAGGGTTTTCAGAGGTGGGTCGCCTATCCTTCTTCCTAGTCTGTCTTAATCTGAATGTTCAGATTTAGAGAAGTATCAGACAGACCAGCATTATATAGAAAAAGTGAAAGATATATCCCTTATTGTGGAATACCAGAGGAATGTATATCTGTGTTTCATTGATTATGCAAAGGCATTTGACTGTGTGGATCATAACAAACTGTGGCTGACTCTGAGAAGAATGGGAATCCCAGAACACTTGATCGTGCTAATGTGAAACCTATACTTGGACCAGGAGGCAGTTGTCAGAACAGAGCAAGGGAACACTGCATGGTTCAAAATTGGGAAGGGCGTATGCCAGGGATGCGTCCTATCTCCATACCTTTTCAACCTGTATGCAGAACAGGTTATCCGGGAGTCTGGGCTCTATGAGAATGTGGGGTCAGGATTGGTGGAAGATCTATTAACAATCTGTGTTATGCAGATGACACAACCCTGCTTGCTGAAACTGAGGAGGACCTGAAGTGCTTGCTGCAGAGGGTCAAGGACTGCAGCCTCCAATATGGATTAAGGCTCAATGTCCAGAAGACAAAGATTCTCACCACTGGGTCAATTGGCAGCATCAGGATGGATGGTGAAGAGACTGAGATTGTTCACAGCTTTAGTTTGCTTGTCTCCACAATCAATACTCTTGGCACCAGTAGCCAGGAAATTAAAAGGCATATTGCCATGGGAAAGTCTGCTGTTAGGGACCTCTCCAAAGTACTGAAGAGCAATGGTGTCTTTCTGGAGACTAAGGTGCTTCTGATACAGGGCATGGTCTTTGCAATCACTTGTTATGCATCAGAGAGTTGGACAGTGACCAAGGAGGATAGAAGGAGAATTGATGCCTTTGAGCTGTGGTGCTGGAGAATAGTATTGAGAGTACCATGGCCTTCTAGGAAAACTAACAGATTCATCCTGGAAAGGGTTAAACTGGGTGGCTCCTTGGAGGCAAGGATTCTGAGGCTCTGTCTAACATACTTTGGACATGTTGTAAGGAGAGACCGGTCCTTGGAGAAGGACGTCATGCTTGGTAGGGTGGAGAGACAGCGCAGGAGGGGAAGGCCCTCTATGAGGTGGAGTGATTAAGTGACTGGGATGGGAGTGTCAAAGACAGTGTGATTGGCACAGGACAGAGCAGAGTTTAGGGCTGTTGTACATAGGGTCGCTATGAGTCGCAAGTGACGCGATGGCACATAACAACAACAGACAACAAGCCAAAGATGGGGAAGCTCTGGTGCTAAGAAGTTGTGCTGTCAACCCAAAGGAACACAGTTCAAATCTACCATGTCCTCCATGGGAGAGAGATAATGCATTCTCCCTCCATTTGATTTGACACTGGCTGTAAAAACCTGCTGGAGGGTCAGCTGTGAGTCGGCCCTGACTTGACAGTACATAACAACAAGTCAAAGGAGGGAGCCCTGGTGGCCTCGTTCATACCGAGTTGTGCTGCTATCCCAAGGGCCATGTATCTTCTGCAGTTTGAGTGCATCAGTGGCTCCGTGGAATAAAGTTAACAGTCTCACTTTATAAATTATAGCCTCAGAAATTCAGTGGAGGGTCACTGTCAGTTAGAACTGATGTGATAGTAGTGAGTTTGAGTTCTTGATTAAGGCAAGGGATGGTGTTCCAGAAATACTCCGTGCCTTCATTCATTCAGTCAACTGGATGTTGAGTTTATGCTCTGTGCCACATGCTGAAGACAAAGCTCTCAACCCAACGGAGAGTAACACAACATTTGCAAACCCAGTAATTTCTGATAAGTAACAAATGATTTCTTTTTCTCTAACAAAAAAAAATTAAAAATTAATTTTGTCTCTTCCTTCTCTATGACAAAGTAATTCCAAATTAAAATGGCAGTAGAAAGCAAGGTTAGCAAACCTGTTAAAGCATTGGAAGAAAGAGGAATTAGATGAGTCCTTGGAAGGGCCTCCATTCCACTGCGTCTGAATCAATTCCAGTTCAGAAAGAAACACAGGAAACAGTTGAACTGCTCCATTGGGTTTCCAACGCTGTCCGTCTTAACAGAGCATTTCTGTCCTATGGAGCAGCGGGTATGCCTGAATCACCTGCTTGCCTTCGGTTAAGACCTCTTTTCAACTCTGCCACAAGGGCTCCTCAGGACCAAAGGGGAGGGGACGACAACATAAACCCCAGACCCAGCTGCTGTCAAGTCCGTTTTGACTTGTCAAAGTCCTCCATCAGTTTTCTGAAGCTGTAAAACTTACAGGAGATGGTCCATCTTTCTCCCCAGGAATGGCTGGTGGACTTGAACTACCACCTTTTCAGCTATCAGCACAGTATGTAAGTTGCTGCACCTCCTGGGCCCTCCTCCCTCTGAGAGGTGGTGGTGATTGTTAAGTGTCTGAGCCATGTATGACTCATAGTGACCTTATGAACAATAGATCTGAACTCTAATCCCAAAGGCTAAAATAATCAGTAAAAAAAGCCAGTCCTGGGCCATTTTGCTTACTATTTTATTTATTATTTGTGAATTACACCCACTGCTACATTTACTTATTTTTATTATTTGCCAATTATACTCAACTATAATCAGAATCATAGTAGGAAATGTATATATAATAAAATTGTTATGTAGAAATAGGGAAGTAATTATACCAATGGTTTCGAGAACTGTGTACTGCATTTACTGTAGTTTAGCATATTTTGTTTCTTAGCTTCTTGGCAGTAAAGCAAAAAAGGGGAATGTGAAGGTTATAAAATTCTTATGCAGTAAAAATGAATAAGAGGGAAACATAACAGTTTACAGGAATGATAAACATTTTCTTGGAACAGAAGTCTGTTAA